TTTTTTTTAAACAACAAATATGTAATGCTTTGTTCCAAATTAGGCGATCTAGTCTATACTTGTGTGTTGTGCGCATCACATAGTAATTCCAGCTAATAATAGGAATAAGAGCACATGTGTTTTCAAAAACAAGATATCGTGTTTAGTACAGGCCGATCTTTGATCAGGCGAGCGGGGGTGCTCATTGCATGACCTTCCCCTCTCGTACCCAAGTTCCCGAGTCGAGGCAACTTTGGTGATGACGGACACGTGGCCTTAGGCACGAGTCAGGGTTTCCTAAATTTCCCCAAAATAAATATTTAGGTGGCGACTCTGCATCTGGCAAAACAGTCCATGTTTGGCACTTCTTTACAAAAATCAGTTTTCCAAAATGATTTGCCGGATTTGGACTCTTTGGTGATTTATCAGTCTTGCATCGCACATTGTGAGATTAGATTTAGAATCGTGACATTGAGTCCGAACTGTAGTAGCTAGAGAACAAACGAGATTTCGCGCCTTCGTAAGCGCGGAGCTTCGGGAGTCCTCGGGGCACGTCTACAGACCCATGGATATCTCTATGTCCGAGTGAATGAGGTCCAGACGGAAGTATATATTCCATAAGAAAAGGGGAGCCAAAGGGATCTGACTGCGGCTGCAAAGTTTGACGACAAGAGAGAACACCAAGGGATTGATGCTCTCGGCAGGATTGCTGGGGAGAACAAAAAAAGAGATGAAGCAACTGACGAAGGCAGCCAGATACAAGTTGCCACAGTAACCCGGGCCAACTATGGAGTTACGACTGTCCTTGGTAATTGCACTCACAACTGGTTACATGTCCTTGAAAAAGTGTTTCAGCCAGGAAAGGCAGGTGGTTTTGTCTCTTTTGGACCTCTCTTGAAGGAATTCCCCAGTCCTGAGATCGTACCAAGAGTCATACTTCCGTGCCTCCCGAAAGGCACCTTGGAGAGTAGTAACGGTAATCAGTTCCGCAGTAGTTAGGGATACGGGATCAAAAGGGTAGTCCCATAGGTGCTCAAGCGAAGGAGAATAACAACATTTTCAAGAGTTGGGGTTATCTCCTCCCAAGCCAGAACGAAGGTGTGAGTGTCGCAGCTCCAGCCGGAAACAATTGTATTAGTATTGGTCTATACCTTACGCATGGACAACTCCTTGGAAATCAAAATGGTGTTGAAGATACGGACATCCCTCAAGCGCTGCTCGAAATCGTCATCTGCAATGATGTCATCAACCAAAAGGGACCAATCTGCTAAAGGGCCTGAGTAAGTGCGGTAATAGATGTATAAATGGGGAAAATCATCGCGCTCCACACGAAACCACAACACAGAGACTGGGTTCACCATGACAGCATCATCCAAAAATGCCTCACCGAAAGAGAGTAGGGGCTCTTTTAGAGAAAGGGGCATCAGGAATAAAAGAGTCAGCTGCCTTCCAAAATGGGTTAGTGAGCCCCCTAAAGTATGGGGCCCTTTTCCACTGAATGCTGGGTGGGACAGCCCTATTGGGTAAGAACCTGGTGGTGACCATGAAGAAGAAGAAAGAAAAGAAAAGAAAATTTTGGGAGGTAGGGTCAGAGAGAGAAGAAGATAAGGAAGCAAGAAAGTAAGTTTTGGTAGAAATGGGGGACCAATGGGCCATGGGGCGCTATTTATAAAAAAAGCAGCAAAAGGGCCCCAACATGCTTCCCTAGGCCCATTATGACCATCAGTCGAAAGACACCTTTTCAGAGTCATTATGACCCTGTAGAAAATCGATGCAACTTTTGACCCAACCGACGCAACTACTGGGTTACTTGCTGACGTCATGCACTCGTGGGAAATAAGGAGCGTATCCCTCACGTGCGTAGGGGGCAAATGTAGAGGGTCAGAAATTGAATCCCAAATTAAGTGTGGACCCAAGCGCTGAGGTCGCCCCATCAAGGCGACTAGGAATGACTAAGAGAGTATGGGCTAAAGCCCAAGAGAAGTGGGCCAACAGTGAGTCGAAGCAGGTCTGACTCGCCTAGGGTTAGAACAGACTCCATGAAGGAAAATGCTTAAGTGAAGTTTTAGAGGGAACACATGCAACGGTCAAGTTGCTGAGGCAACACATGCAACGGTCAAGTTGCAAAGGCGACTCATGCAACGGTTAAGTTGTTGAGGCAACACTTGCAACGGCCAAGTTACAGAGACACTTTGATTCAGCACCGCCATTCCAAGTATTGTCGGTACCGCCGCTATTCCCAGCATTGTCGATATCACAGCCATCTGGAGTTGCTGAGGGAAGGAGAAAACCAAAGCAACTAAGTTACAGATACAGTACTTGCAGCGCCTAAGTTGCAGAGGTATTTTGTTGGTGCCGCTATTTCTAATATTGTCGGTTCTGCCATTTGAACTTACTGCAGAAAATGACTGTCGCAGCAACTACAGCCGCTGCAACTAATATGCGAAGGGAAACCTCTTGCCAAGGAGATAGTAGCCTCTGGGAGAAGCTCCCTCTTTGCAAGTTAGTTGGCTAATACTTGGCGTCGATAGCAGGTCCCAAGGCATTACTAGCCTAAGGCTGATAGCAGGCCCCAAAGTTCATTAACTTGGCACTAATAGCAGGCTCCAAAGTTCATTAACTTGGCACTAATAGCAAGCCCTAAGACTTACTGGTTGGAGTTAATAGTAGGCCTAGAGATATTAGTTTACTGCGGCGATCCTGCGAAGATGGGAATAGGGTAGCCAGAGTGTAAGGGACTCCCTTTCCATTACCCAGGTCATATACCTGCCGTAGTCGCATATGCAGGAGTAAGAAAGCCCCATTGGGCTTGGTACTAAGGCACAACATGGCTGATAGCAAGCTTGGTTGTGGCCTTCGTCCTAAGAAGTTGGCGAGTTTGTGGTTAGGTGACTAAGGGTAGAGATTTCGCTGAGGTGAACACAAGCATAGCCGATAGCAGGCTAATGGAGCCCTGAGAATGCATGTACTGGCTAAATAGAACTGAGAAGGCAAGTGCAGTAGCAAGGTTTATCGCTACAAATGCACTTACTGAGGTTCGCCTTGAGAAGGCAAGTGCAGCGACAAACACTCTCGCCGCAACTGCACTTGCTGAGGCTCAAAAGGGAGTTGCAGCGCCAAACACTCTCGTCGCAACTGCACTTGTTGAGACTCAAAAAAGGTAGTTGCGGAGGCAAACAGATAGTACACAGTACATGCATAGGGACACGTGACACCTTCAACCTGGTGGCTCAAGACAGAATATTCTAAGTGATATTTAGGGACACCTGTCTTCTCTTTATTTGGCTATTTGGTGTCCTCTTGGTACCAAAGAAAAACTTATAAATTGGACCCATTTCCCAAGATCTAAGGAGAGGAATTTTTGGGATTTGGGGGAGATGCTGACCATTTGTGCATTGCCATTGTCTTCTTCTTGAGCTACTTGCTTCACCCTCACCCAGCTGCTCACTCTTCAACCGCCCAGACAGTTGCTGCTGCTCATTCTCCAGTCATTCCATCATTCTTGGACTATTAACATAGTTTTGCCTCTCTAATCACCTTCCTAACCTCGACCCCCCCTACAATATGTATACAAAAAAATGTACTTTTTTAATACATGCCAAACAAGTACAAGTTAGCCAAACGAAAGCTAATTGACTAGCCTTTTCTTTAAAAAGTTTGATTGACCTACTACAAAAGAAAACACAATGAGGGAAATGCTAGTAAATATTCTAAAATAATTATTATTTAATATTAAAAAGTATATAAAAAAATATCATGAAAATATATAAAAATATTAAAAAGTGTATTACTTTTGGTAAAAATATATTAAATTTAGTAAAAAACATATCTTATGTTTTTTAATTTTTTTACCTTAAGTACATTTGTTAGCAAAACTCATAAAAGAAAATTAATAGTAAATAATACGCTTCACTATTGAAAAGTATTTGCATTTATTTTTAAGGTCTTTTGCATATATTATTTATAATAAAAAAATTAAATCAATTTTATAACCATAACTTTTTAATTTTAAAAATAAATGGTAAATATGTTTTCAAAATAGATTTTTTTTTTTTTAAAGTCAAAATGAAATGAAGAAGTTGCTATTATGGAATCAATTTAATTTTTTTTAATAAATAATATACATAAAAAAAAACTTACAAAATAAACTATTTAAATCATAAAAACAATACCTGTGACTCCTAAGCCCAAACAACACCTCTTGAGCTCATATCAAGATTAAAGAGAAGTCCATCTCAATAGTAAAGAGAAGTTTGGTAAAATAAAAATTTTAAAAATAAAAAATAAAAAGTAGTAGTGTATTTGGTTTTAATTTTTTGAATTCAATTTTTTAAAATTTGAGTTTTTTTATCTTTTGTGTTTTTTATTTTTTGTGAATATTTTTTAAATTTTAAGAAATTTTTACTTTTTTAAATGTACCTTACATAAATGTATCTAAATAATAAATTATTTATGAAAAATATTTTAAAAAATAAATAAATACACAAAAATATGAAAAATATACTGAATTTTTACATTTTTTAAATATATTTTTGGTATTTAGTGATTTTTTTTTAAATTCAATGAAAACAAAAAAAAAATACAGAAAATGAAAAAAAAAATTTAACAAATAAATTCTGAAAACTAAAAATAAACAAAGTGATTTAAATTTTTTTTTATCAGCATTGCTGGCAATTTGATTTTAGAATGAGCAAAAGCTGCACCTAGATTTTCTGGGTTGATCTCGAAAAGCCCGGTCCAGTCCACCCTAAGCTAACATTGATAATAAGAAATTATTAGCTAAAAACACCAATCCCAATTTTTCCGATAATCAATTTATTTAAATTATTTTTGCATTACAAATTATAAGAGAAAGTTGCATAAAATATTTTAATACAGATTCCTTAAAAAAAAATAAAAATAAACAACTATAATAAACTCCATCAAATAGTCCTTAAATTGTAGACCTATGAATAGGAACTTCTGAGGTTGGATTTAAACCAGAGAAACAACAAACCATTCATCATAGATAGATATAGATCATCAGCCGGGGGAGGGGAACATTAAGAAACATAAATAAAAAATTCAACATCTAGTCAACATAAGAATTCATCGAGGGAAAAAACATGAAAAGAAAAAGTCTCTTAAACCAAACCAAACCAAGACTTAAGTCCCATAAAATGGAATTGGCTAGAAAAAGTCTCTTAACTGTTGAAATATTAAACTATAAAAATAAAAAAAATCAACTCAAATTCTCAATAATTTGAGAGAGAGCTGAATAGGTTCCAACGACTGCCGATACAGCACCAACAACAATAATCAATATACAAAGCAATCCCTGCCAAGATTACATGAAAAAAACACATCATGAGAAAATGTGCAAGAAAAGCAGCAAAGAAAAAATACAAGCAAATTATTTTCTATTAATCATGGTTAAGGTGGCAAACCTATAGGACTTCTAAATGAGTTAATGGTCATAATAAGAACATACAATAGATCCTATGTTTGAATCTTATAGTCTGTCAGATAATTCCAATACTCAATACTTGTTTAGTCTACTTAGCATGGGAGGGGTTCTATTGAGTTTAGAAATAATGAAGTTGTCTAATAGCACTGTGCAAAGCTATCACAAGGAGATTGCATGCATATCTATTATGTTTAACACACCATTGGTTCTAATATCTGATATTGTTAGAACACAATGTTCATTATACATAGATGAAATGAAGGGTATTTCATGGGTGTACCTGAAGCAGAGTTACTTTCCCCCTCAGGATGCGTAGAAAACAGGCACAAGGAAGTATCAAGGTCTGTAATAGAAAATTTAGTCAGTAAAATGCGACTGCACCAACTCAAAAATTTCTGAATTTGATTAGTTGGAAAAAGGTAAAAGCAATAGGAGAAACTAATCAGTAAAGAAAGCGCACAAAAACTTACCACTAGCATTGTAAGTAAAGATCCAATCAATGCCATAACCAGACCTGTCAAACAAGAAAGAGAGATGCTAATGCAATCATTTAAACATACTAAAAGATGAATAAATCGTACGGGACCAGATATATCTGTCTTTTTACAACTCAATACTAGAACTCACCGAAGAATGGGACAGAGAGAGCCACAACCAAGGTAGAAATCACCAGTGCTGTTCTGATGAGGATACAATACATGTAAGATTTGAGATGGCTCGATGGTATCAATTCCTCCAGACACAATGCTACTGGAGTCATGGTTAATGCATACGTGCTTGTAATTAAAGAAAACAAGGGAACATTCGTGAATATTGAAGCATATAGAAGACTATGAAAATTAACTCCATAACTTCGTTCCTGCAGCTTATGACACCCACAAAAGAAACAAAGAAAAGAAAATATATGGCTTTCCTTGCTAATGAGAGGGCATATGTAGGGCCTTGGCTTCATAATCAGGGGCATAATATTAGGACCAGAAGGAATATAGCTGCTATAATTACATGTCCTTCAAAATTTACCGTCTCTTATTAATATTTTTTTCATAGCAGTTTCCCCCATTTCCTTGTTATTCCTTTCTATCCTACATATATCAACCTAAATCATGGAAAATAATTTTAATTTTAAGTTCTGAAGATCACTATACTAAAAGCAAATTAAACTTCCTCCTCAAAAACAATTTGGGATTTTCAATTAGAAAAGGATATTTGGTAAATGGATTAACTACCTGCAAAAGAACAAACAGAAGATAGAAGTTACCATCACAATTTGCATATTAATGTCCAAAAACACTGCATTCATAAACCTGGAGAAAACCTAGCCGAATGATACTTTGAAGTGAACAAGAGAAAAAGATTTAGAGCCCAACTAGGCTGCCTAGATCTACAGGTTAAATGGGACTTTCTTCCCTAGATACTTTCTTGAACTTGAAACAACAAATTTAGCTTAGACCTGGATTGCAAATGGCAATTGAACATGAACGAAATATTATATATAAATTGGTTAATTTATATCTTAATTAAATATGTTTATATATGCAGATATGTTTAATTTGTAGGTAAAGGAATAGCTATGAGCTATGAAGCACGGGTGCGGGTACGGATACTGGTACGGGTGCGATATGGGTATGCCGATACGACAAAACCTAAAAAAAATAGGATACGGATACAAATACGGTTGGGATACATTAATAAATTTTTATTTTTTATAATTTATAGTTTGAGATCCAATCTACAAATCAAAGTTCAATACCAAAACTAAAAGGAAGAATTACAAAACTAAAAGAGAAATTATAATTCAATAATACCAATACCAAAGCAAAGTCTGTAAGCTATTTTAATGCCATCAAATAGGAGAAATTACAAAATAAAATTTCATTCCAAAAGCAAGCTAAGCAAAATTTAAAAATTTGAAACTTCCATCAATTTCATCATTGAATAATATATCTTTCATCTCTGGCACATCAAGTAATGGATTTGTAATTTCAAGTAAATAAGAACTCTCTAATAAATTAAATGTATCCCCACTAATGTCTCATAGCTTAGTGTACTCCCGATGTACCCATGGAGTACTAATTGCCAAAGAATATATAAAAAGTATCTGGTATGTATTTCGAGTACCCAGTATGCATGCAGCCCTATCGGTATAAGTACAACAACATTTATCAGTACGACTACAACAACATTTTCGGAGTACCCATACTTCATAGGCTATGAGTATAATAGCGGCATAGTACACATGTCACTGCCCAGATCTTTGAAGATGTTTATGATGTTAAAGAGGGTGCAACGCCCATTTGGCAGGCTTTGCTTGTGGGAATAAAGTAATAACGGACTGAAGACCATCTATTGGATTAGCACACAACTCACTGAGTTAGAAGTTTTGTCATGCAATTTTGATTTCCAAAACAACCACAGCAATACTAGATTTTCTGTAATACAATATTGCCTACCAGTTACTGTGAGGACTAAAAAGTAAATCAACCAATGAAAAATCAGTTGCTCACTACTCTCTCTACCCACTCTCACCCATGATCTCCAAGAGCAGTTTCAATAGGTCTTCTAGTTGTAAATATACAAACTTGAGAAAACAAAACACCAAAACTTAGACCAGCCTACCGTAGTCCAGACAGCAATTTTGGAGGCAAGCAAATCTTGGGGCATGTTAAGAGTGAATTGAGACTCTGTTAATTCTCCAAACATCATGTATCCCATCACACCAACTCCAGCATACATGAAAGTACAGATAACAAAACTGCATTCAGAAAGATTTCATAAAATCAATTAAAAGAAGAAAGATATAAAGGAATTATAACAACTGAGACACTCTTGTTCGGAATATTGCAGTCTTTGGATACTATATTCAACAGTCATTGTTTCCCCTGTGGTTGGTAGCATTTCAAAGCTACAAATGCTTCTTAATTAACCAGTGGCCTAAGGGCATTGGTTAACAAAAGTCCAAACCATGTGTAATACCAAGGCAAGGCCCACTGACCAATGAAATGCAGTTTTGGGTTATAGTTTTGACTGCGAGTTTAGATGACCTGGCATTATTGGTTTACCTAGTCAAGAGGACCGCAGGATATTGGCTTGGTTTCGCCATTGATGTATAGATATTTGGAAAGACAGCATGTCCTGAGTAGCAGAAACCATAGAGACCAATAGCAACAGGAAGGGTTGTGAGGTTCAGCGTTGTCCCTTTGCTCTGAAAGTCAACTTTATCCACCAAGCCAGCCCAGAACAAGCAAATGACTACCAATATTGAGGCAACAACTCCACCAGCTGGAAACAAACGAGGCACAAACTAAAAATTCCTCATGATGCATAGAGATATGACCCCCAAGATTGAGGGTGCAACTAAAAAACCCCAGAATTTAAAAAGGAGTTACAAAATCTACAAGCTAAATCACTGTAATTACCAGAGATGTAACTAAGGACACTGAGGTCTCGCAGCCAAACCGTAGGAAGAACAGCGAGGGTGGTCAACAATGCGAACAAATGGTGAGAATTCAATTCATATGCTCCCAAATTTAAATGTGCATTTGGAAATAGTGCTGATAAGTTATCACTTTCCAAAATAATATGTTCAACGGTACAAGCCTGCAGAGGAGACCTTCGATGTCAAATCAGTACACTACAGAAACATATATGATACCTCAACAAGTAGGAACTGTCAGCATTTGGCAAGGTGTATACTTATATAGGACCTTGTATATCCCTGTATGGAAATTTTTATCCTAAAACCTGGTGGTCCTGTTATATAGAAGCATACAGATTGTCTCCAGTCCACAGTATTCCCCACCATAGGTCCAATTTTGATGAACCGAACCATTCAATGTGTAGTTTCATCCCTATAATGATCACGTTAATCGGATATCGATAGCGCCTTGATCAGAATATATTTTTGTCAACAATTTATTTTTAAAATCATATTTACCATTGATAAAAATATGATCTGATCAAGTGGCTATCGATAGCTGATCAATGTGATTTTTTTTACTAATTATTGGCGGTTGGATCCAACAGATACTGATTTTGTAATATGTTAGTAGCAATTGATTGATCAAGTGGATTCTGTAATTGGCGGGTCCAACAGATTCTTGCCACATTGACAAGAGTAGGGATTTTACCTCAACGGTGCCCCGCCCCACTATTATAAGGCCAGTTTTCTGCCAATTTTTTGCCCCTATGGGGCCAATGGATGGCTGATATGGTGGAATTCTTGTTTCATGAGGCATTTCTCTTTACATAGATATCTCAAACAAATGAGAACTATAGTGAAAAATATAGGCCCCGAAACAACAAACCACCGAAACTTGGACCTTTAATCACTTTACTATTAGACAGATGAGTCACTGGTCACAGACACAATTACCAATAGGCATTACCTTCCAAATTGTAAGACCTATCAAGGCATGGATGGTCCCCCTATCAACCCACATTCAGAATTTTTTTCCTTTATGTCATACAACTTTAGCTGATCAATGTCAAATTGCTCTAGTAGTAGTATAGGTCCAATGATATGAATAAAAGAAACTACAAAAACACAGAAGAACCAGCTGTACTTACATATAATTCTGCATATAAAATTATCTGCATCCACAAAAAAACAAAAGAAATTACAAGGTCAACAACCAGACATGCATATTATAAACTTGTGCTTTATTTAATTCAATATTTTTTAAAAAAATTCACAAGGTGGTTTTAAATATCAGTTTTGTGTGTGTATGTGTTAATTATAGAGACCTAACTAATGAAACTGATATTTTGGTCTAAAAGGCATTTTCCTTAGCAATTTTATTAATATCTATAGGAAAAAACAAAAAAGTTAGGAGAAGTAAAACATTTTTAGAAACCAACAAGACTTACTGATATTGCAAAACGTCCCATGTTACCAAACGCAGCCTGGCCAATGTCTGGGTAAGTCTCAAGACCAGGTTGGCTGTCCAAGCACTCTCGCAAGAGAATCCCAGTGTAGAAAGAAAGGACTGCAAAAATAAACAATATCGAGAGGCCAACCCATCCACCTTCTTTGACAGCATAAGGAGTAGAAAGGATTCCCACCCCACATAGAACATTCATGCCTGCAAGAAACCAAAATAGGATAACAATTTATCTTACTGGAACCTGGATATGTTTTTAACTTATGAATCAAAGTCTAAGGGTTGATGTATTGAAATTACCAAAATTTTGTAATTGTGACAACTCAAATGAAAATTGACATATAATAAACCACCTAATGCCGCTTAAAGTAACTTCCAGGACAAAATGCTACCCATTAAATCACAAGCATTGGTTCAATTTGATCAAAGAGCTTGCAATAGCTTTGGTAGCTTGCTATCATCCGTTAAGGAATGGCAACAGGACTCCACACTGGGAAGACAAATAATCTAATAATCTAAAAATGTTGACACAATGCACTTAGCTATTTTCTATATTATGATAGTATTGCTCTCTAATCTTTGGAAGATACAATTAAGGAGCAAACTTGGGTGCTGTAAATTAAATTCCTCCATTATGTTGACGAGACTTTTGAAGCCAGAAACCAATCTTTCATTAAAAAAAAAGTCATAATTTTTTTTTTTTTTTACAAGAATGCTCATCTGATAAGCAAGTGGCTAACAGATCTATAGACACCCTAGCTAAGATAGGAGTGGAGCAGGACGATGACTTGTTTGTGATGGAAGACCCACCCGATGCAATCAGGCCACTACTTGTAGCGGACATGGTGGGCACGGTGTATGAGATTATATAGCCTCTCCATTTGTTGTTTTTCTTTTCTTTGTTAAAAATCTGTTACTTTTCATTACCAAAAAAAAAAAGCTAACAGATATGCAAACCTCATACTTTAATAATTACGAGAATGCTCAAATCTAACTAGCTACAACTATTTGCAGTCAAATGATTAATATCCATGCACAGTATCTAGACATTAATATTGCAGGACTGTCTATCAGATGACTTATGTAGAACCTTTCTTATATGATCCTAACGACATATAATCCAGTAGATATAGGTAATGAAAGTGAGCTCATGTAACATACCGTTTAACACAGCTTGGCCAAATGAACTCTGGCGAGGAACTGGAACTTCATGTGATACCTTGGCGAATTTCTTTGTGGAAGCCTTCCTCGACGGAATAGGAGGAAGCAGAGAATGGGAACTACGTCTTTGTTGCGGTTGTTGCTCATTATCTACTGTTGGCAAAAGAGGTTTAGCCACAGAAGGTAATATCTCAGGAGTGTGTCTCCTCGTCAATGACGAGGAAAGAAGTGAACTGCTTAATCTTGATAACGTGGGAGTGCCAAGAAATGTAAGACTCGGGGATGATACACTACTATACAGATCAATTGATTGCCTGAAATTTTAGTTTTGAGAAAAATATAAGTGTTTGGAACTAGATATAGAAGCAATGCATCATATGGAGAAAAAAAACAACTAATATTTGATGATTTCATCAAGTGGAACACATAATGCACATGTGGAAGAATTAAACCATTTTGGAACTATATTCAACTACTATAATTTTTGTTTGTGGGCACATAATTTGCAAATTAAGAAATATCCCGTGAAAATGATTGATCTACAATTATTAGAATGAGAACAATTAGAATTTAGCACTAATGTTGTAGAACTTTCCTGAGCTGATGGCCATCCGGAGAGTATTTGCTGAATTGGTGTTTTCACTCCTTAAACTCTACCACAGATGCAATATATCCCATTTGAATATTTTTAGATGCAACCATGTTAGTGATACTACAAGCATGGGATGAAGGTATTTTGGTGGTTGAAGAAAATATGAATATTATGGAATGAAAGTATTTTGGTGAATGAAGAAAATATGAATATGAAGGCTTAGCAGACAAAATGAAGAGAAAAAAAATCAAGAGGAAGAATGTGCTGTTGAAGACAATTTATTTTCTGGTATTCACAATGAATTAATTTATAATTTAGCTCTCTATGGTTACGAATCAGCTCTTATCTACCACGAAGAAGAAAGAATCGAGCCTCTTCTTGCTTTACTACTACTACTACTACAACAACTACAACTGATGAGTCTCGGACAAATTATAAATTAAAACATTTCACCATTCATGTTTTTCAGAAGAAACAAAGCTTTCAGATCACATTTTAATTTTTTTTTTTTTAAATACACAGAATAGACAACAAAGATCTTCATCACCAAGTAAGTTATACATAAACAGAGCAGAGCAAAACAGAGGAAAACAGAACATAGAGGGGGAGAGAGAGACCTGTAACTTTGAGGCCATGTTGTATTGAGAGAATTGGGTTTGCTCTGCTGCCGATTTTCATTCGAATGATTCGAAGATTCCGAATTGTTTCCATCATCTTCCGCCTTGTTAAATTCCTTCTCCTCATCTTCCTCTTCGCTCTCAATGTAAAAACTCTGTTCTGAAGCCGAACTCATTTTCCCAAAATCTCTCTCCTCAAAACCCTTCTCTCCTTCTGGGTATCCCAAGCCTTAAATCAAAAAAAAATAAATAGTACTACTAAAAACATATTAAATCCAAAAATTCTTTCTACATAGCAGATCAAAGATTTAAATCTTTCTCAGTCAACAATTAAGGACAAAATTAAGGGAAGCATATATATATATATATATCCTTTTTATAGTTGATTAAGTCTGTTTGCTACTGCCTTACTTTTAGAAGCATTTTTTTGAAAGGTATAACCTTTTATAATCATGCAAGTAAACCATCAAAGAAACAAACAGAGAGAGAAAGCAAATTTACATACATTAATAACCACATGAAAACACAAATTTGTATCACATGCATGGAATTAGGTAGATGATTGAATCAAATTATCAACTAAGCAATGAAATGCACTGTTATCAACTAAGCAATGAATTAGTAGTGGAATTCACCAAATTATAGAAAGGAAATACGAATCGTAATCAGAAAATTTTAACAGAGAAAATCTTGACATCATAACAATAGAGAGTTGAGCGAGTATACACATATTGACATGAATATTATTTCAAATAAAAGATTCAATTTAAACCATGAACAGTGACCAACCTCAAAAGAAAAATTAGCGCAAAAGGTCCCAAAAGGTCTAGACCTTTCACTCACTCTCACACACACACACACACACACACACAGAGTATTGATGGTTTTCTCTCTCTAGAAGTTGAACCAACCAACCAACTCTTGGCAGAGAGAGAGAGAGAGAGAGAGGTTTTTTTTTTTGTCTAGCTTGGTTCACAGCTTTTGCTGCTTTATATATACAGAGACTCTTTCAAGAAATGTGAAGCTCTTCTCACTTGAAATTTCTTCCTCTAATTTTTACCAGAAGGTTCAGTTGTCGACTACGGAAGAACATACAGAACCGGGAAGTGTTTGGGTGTGTACATATCATATATATTCGTATGAGTTATTATAAATATACATAATTTACTATAAATTTTTACAAATATACATAAATTATAAATTTATAAATTTTTACACACATTTAAGAATTACTTATATAACTAATAAAATTATAAAAATATGAGCAATGGTAGAGGGCCCAAATTCTGTGGCTCAAATGTGGCTCAAATGGCCAAAACGACGTCGTTTTGAGTACAAAACAACATCAAAATGGCCAAAACGACGTCGTTTTGAGTACAAAACAACATCAAAATGGCCAAAACGACGTCGTTTTGGCCATTTGAGCCACAGAATTAGGGCCCCAAACATTTTTCTAAAAATATATCACGTCTAATATACAACGAATCTATGTAATAATTTTTTTCTTCTATTTCGCAGCCGTTGAAGTGCTAATGCCAAAAATTAATTTTAATATTTTGTTTTTCAGATCAGTGGTCAAATTTATGAATTGTAATAATTAAAATATAAAAAAATTTCATCAATCAGTAATTATTTTTAAGAAGTATCATTGGTATAATTTTTCCAATTAATTTTTAGTTATTTCTAAAACAATTTAATATTTTAAAAAATATTTTATTTGATACATTTTTTATTTTTTTATTTTCTTAATAATTTTTTAACATGAGTTTATCTGACTAATTTAGACTTCTTGACCGGAAATAAACTTTAACAAATAAAATATAGTAATTCTACTGACACATAAATTATCAGATGTGTTCCTCTTTATATTTTCATCTATGTATATCTATTCTTATTTCTTTTGTGAATTCCAATTTAAACCCAAATCGATTAATCATCTATCTTATAGGTCCTGTAATAAATGTTATCTATATAAAAATTATGAAGACACATTGACGCTAGGGTGTTTGCTGTTCGGTTGTAGTTGAAAAGCCTTCAATCTGTCATTCGTCCGCCGATTTGACGGATTGAAAAAAATCAATCCACATCAATCCGACGAATTGACGAATGTAGATTGGCAAATTGGAGCATGGTTGCGAATTAGTTTGTCAGTTTAAATTTTTACAAATTTTGAACATAATGCAACAACTTGTCAACATTTTTTATTTATTTATAACAATCCAACTTGACATAATCAAAATATTATTAAGTAAATTGTCAAATATCAATAATAAATATGTATATAAAAAATATATTATCAAAGCTATTTCATTACTTTTTTTTATTTAAAAACTATTTAATTTGATTTTTTTGTAAATGAAAAAATTAAGCTTTATATTTTCTATACAAAAATATCAAAAATCAACACTTGTCATTAGATAAAAGGATTTCCAAATTGAAAATAAATTGAAAACACAACAGAATATCTAAATATTTTTTTCAATTGAAAATACAAATAGAATATCTAAACAAATTAAAAACACAAAATCTTACAAATTACTAGGTATGCTCGAGGTTTGACAGTTCGGTTGCGGCCAAAGAAATCTCAAATCCGACATCCATCCAAAACTAGGCGGATTAGAAAAAATCAATCTACAACCGTCCGTTCATCATCACACATCCGTCCAAAATGTGGCGGAGCAATTCAGTTCGGTCGATGTGGCCGGATCAGAATATCCGTTGTTCACTCCTAATTGACGCACCCCAAACATGCTGGAATTGTTTAATAAAATAAATGACAAATATAATTATAAACTCAAAGCATCTATTTATAAAATAAAATATAATTTATTTTTATATTTATAGTTATCTGATAAAATTATTTTCTGATATGAAGTTCTCTGATAAAATTATTTTCTTGTATGAATAATATTTATTGCAAGGCCAATTTAGGAGGAGAGCGTAAACAAATATGAAAGGATGAAATATGGACGAAAGTTTATCCCTCAATCACACATACTGGCATAACAGTTGCTCTATACAGTGTGCAGCCCCGATAATAATGTAGGTGTTGTCATTTATTTATTTATTTAAAAATAATTTTGAATAAAATAAATTTTTAAATAAATTACACTAATCGTCTTTTTAATTTGGGATTTGTATCACTTTAGTTTATGATCTTTCAATTGTAATATATTTGATTCTAAATTTTGAATCTCATTTTACATAAGGACAATTAAAAACATTGTTACTCTATTTCAAGAATAAAGTCGTTCATTTTATAAACTAGTTTGATAAAAATAATAATTAAAAATTTATTTTTAAATTTTAAAAAATTATTTTTATCCTCCAAAGATAAAATTATATAAAAATAATAAATCTTTAACATTTTTATGTTTTTATTTTTCTACTAAATTAATTTTTAGTATGTGTTTAGATAATAATCATGTAATGGATGGTTGTTTTTATTGATGTTTTTGGATGATTATTCTATAATAAATAGTTGTATTTGTTATTAATAGATATTTTTGGATGGTTATCATGCAATAGATGGTTATTAGTCTTTTAATGTCTAACCGATATGTTTATTATATGAAATATTTTTAGTTTTAGATTTTTTGATCTAATTAATTAATTTAATAATGATATCAAAATTATTGTCATGTTTGATTTTTTTTTTAAAATAGAAACTAATTTAACGAAAATAAATATAAAAAAATATTTTTTAAAAAATTATTTATACCCTCTCAAAAAATGAAATTATATAAAAATAATGTATTTTAAATTTTTTCAGTAATTTAATTTTCAATTTCTTAGAGAAAATTTCTAAAAACCAAAGCAAGCAAAACTTTATAATTAAAAAGTTCTAATCAGTTTGTTTGGTTTGAGTTTTTTGGATTAAGTTTTTTAAAAATTGACTTTTTTGGTTTTCGTATTTTTTTGTTTTAGTGAATATTTTTTAAATTTTAAACATTTTTTTTTTAACTTTTTTAAATGCATCTTACTTAGATGTATCTAAAAAGTAAAAAATTTGTGAAAAAATATTTTAAAAAATTAATAAATACATAAAAATACAAAAAATGTACTGAATATTTTTTTTTGTATTTTTGATATTTAGTGAATTTTAAAAAGTTTTTTTTTTTACTTTTTAGGTGTATTTATGTTAAGTCTGTCTAAAAAGTAAAAAAATTGCTTAAAATATTAAAAAAAAATCAGTAAAAACAAAAAAACATGGAAAATAAGAAAGTAAAATTTTTTGAAAAGTGTTTTTTGAAAAGTGGAAACAAGCAAGGTGAATATTATTCATTAAAAAAAATAACATTACATTTCAAACAACATACAAGTTAAACCAACACAAAATAAATTGTATGGCAATTTTACCTTTGAAATGAACTATCTGCAAAGTAAATATTTGATTGTGCTTATTTTGAACACGATTCAAAATTCATAACTAAATATATTACAATTAAAAGTGAATTTTTAAAAGATTTTTTTTACATTTTTTTTACTTTTTAGGTGTATTTATGTTAGGTGTGTCTAAAAAGTAAAAAATTGTTGAAAATATTAAAAAAAATCAGTAAAAGCAAAAAAATATGGAAAATAAGAAAGTAAAATTTTTTGAAAAGCGTTTTTTGAAAAGTGGAAACAAGCAAGGTGAATATTATTCATTAAAAAAAATAACATTACATTTCAAACAACATACAAGTTAAACCAACACAAAATAAATTGTATGACAATTTTACCTTTGAAATGAACCATCTGCAAAGTAAATATTTGATTGTGCTTATTTTGAACACGATTCAAAATTTATAACCAAATATATTACAATTAAAAAAATCATGGATCAAAATAACATGAGTACCAAATTACAAAAACTATTAATGTAATTGGTTCTAAAATTTTTTATTGTATTAATTGACTTATAACCAAGCCAAATGATTAGGGTATTGTGTTAAACTATTATAATTTTATAATTTTTTAGAGTAAATTATATGGATAGTCCCTGCATTTGTCTCTTATATTAATTTGGTCTCTATAATTTCAATTAGTTTGATTTCGTCTCTTAATTTAGATTTTGTATCAATTTGGTCCAATTGATAATGCCGATTAAGATTTTTTAAAGAAAAACAGTTATTGAGTTGATTGGGATTAACTTACTGAGTTAAACAAGTTTATAATCTTGTCTATAAAAATATAATAGATGCTACTCATGTGCGTATTTTCAATAAATAAAAAAGCGCTAGCAGTTATAATAATTGGACCAAATTGCGACAAAATTATAAATTCATGGTCAAAATTGAGCAAATTAAAATTATAAGGACTACAATGACACAATAGTTAAAATATGGGGACTACCAATATAATTTATCATTTTATCTAGTATATAAGTATTTATTTTTATGTTTCATGCAAAATATTAAATAAAAATATTATTTATGTATTCCATCATGAGAAATAGAGAGTGTTTTTTGACCATGGCCAAATGTTATTTTACTAAATTGTCAAATTTCATATTAAATTTGATATATTATTTTGACAATGTTATAATTTAATTACAATTTTTATAATGTCATGACTCAATTTTTTTTTTCTTTTTAAATACTATCATGACCTTGCTGGTTGCACACTAAAACAAGGCATAATAATTTTGTATTTTAAAAAGTAAAAAAAAAAATTATATAAAAATACATTGTAAAAAAATAGATTTTAAGGCTTTGTTTGGGAAGAATGGGTTGGGTGGGTTTAGGGTTATTTTAGTTACAAAAAGACAAAATAAGTTTTTTAACTCAATAAGATAAAATATTACTTCAAATCCATAATTATTACATTATTTCTTTCACAAAAAGTCAAAAAATCAAAAAAATCTTTTCTAAATGAGACTTTTTAACCTTAAGTTCAAATAGTCAACAAATCAAAAAAATTTAAAAAATTAACTTACTTCCCAAACGAATCTTAAATAAGCTGCTGCTCCTTTGATAAGGTGCAATCAATAAGTTATTTAAGTTGAGAATATCAAATTGGTCTAAATAAATTTAATAATGGTGGGTATTGCATGGAGTGAAAGTGTGATTGGATGGGTCGTGTAGTAATAGCCCAAGTTTGAGATTATACTATTGCAA